TGGCTGCTCAATTTTCAATCCAGCTCCCAACTCATACAATTGGGAAAGTATCAAAAGATGGCCCGCCAGCGCCACGGCTCAATAGGCTAATCCTCCACCTTGTGGTGCCAGCACACCGGGTTCTAGTCCCGGTCAGGGCGCCAGATTCTGTCCCGGTGGCCCCTCTTCCAGGCCAGCTCTCTGCTGTGGCCAGGAAGTGCAGTGGAGGATGGCCCAAGTGCTTGGGCCCTGCACCCCATGGGAGACCAGGATAAGCACCTGGCTCCTGTCATCGCTGGCCACAGGGCGCCGGTCGCGGCGGCCATTGGAAGGTGAACCAATGGCAAAGGAAGACCTTTCTCTCTGTCTCTCTCTCTCACTGTCCACTCTGCCTGTCAAAAAAATAAAAAAGAAGATGGCCCTAATATTTGGGCCCCTGCCATCCATGGAAGAACCAGATGAAGTTCCTCACTGCTGTCTTCAGTTTGGCCCAGTCCCATTTGGAGAGCAAATCAGAAGATGTAAGATCTCTCTTTGTCTCTCCCTACTTCTCTGTAGCTCTGCTATTCAAACAAATAAACACACCCTAAAAATAATTTACATAAAGAAATCTCGTTTCATTTTTCCAACCTATTTGTTTCTTTTTAAAGATTTATTTATTTATTTATTTGAGAGGTAGAGTTAGAGACAATGTCTGCTGGTTCACCTCCCAAATGGCTGCAATGGCCAGAGCTGTGCCGATCTGAAGCCAGGAGCTTCCTCTGGGTCTCCCACACAGGTGCAGGGGCCTAAGCACTTGGCCATCTTCTACTACTTTCCCAGGTCATAGCAGAGAGCTGGATTGGAAGAGGAGTGTCCATATGGATGCCGGCACCACAGGCAGAGGATTAATCTACTGAGCCACAGCGCCGGCCCCCAACCTATTTGTTTCTTTTTACTTCTCAGTCCACCCTTATAGGACACCCTTACTAGCTTTTTCTGATTATTACAGTGTTTCTGTATTTGCAAAAATCTAGAAGATGTAAATATTTTGTAATCCAGCATTCCTAATCATAACTACAGATCTTTTTCTACCTTTTCTTTTCAAAATAATAAATCTTGGATATATGTCCATTTTTCATTTTCAAAAATAGCTTCAAAAAATGTTTTCCAATGTGTGCTTAATTTAACAAGTCCTCTTCTTCCAGTCATAATAAGAACTGAACTGCAATGAATAATTTTGTACAGTGTATGTATATATATATATATATATATATATGTTATTTCCTATACTGCATACAAATTTCTAGAACTGAGATTCCCATATTTCTGCATCAGTTGATTCTAGATAATATTTATGATTCACATGCTCATGTATTTCTGTTAGAATTATATTCTGCTCAGTTAATAAAAGTCATGACAAGAGCCTCGGGTGATTACTGACGTCAAAAATAAGAGTGTTAATTTTTAAATCAACAACGGGAGTCACTGTGCACCTGCTCCCTATGTAGGACCTCTGCCCTTAATGTGTTGTACTATGCGAATCTATGGTAAAACTACTACTCAAACAATATTCTATATTTTGTGTGTCTTTGTGGGTGCAGTCTGTTGAAATCTTTACTTAGTATATACTAAGTTGATCTTCTGTATATAAAGATAATTGAAAATGAATTGTGATGAAAAATGGGATGGGAGAGGGAGTGGGAGATAGGATGGTTACGGGTGGGAGGGAGGTTATGGGGGGGAAAGTTGCTATAATCCAAAAGTTGTATTTTGGAAATTTATATTTATTAAATAAAAGTTGAAAAGAAAAAAAAGGCATCCAGATACATTATTGGACAGCATACACAATGATCTCTCTCAAATTCTGATTCCCAGAAAGAGGGATGTAGAGGTGCCAGTCTGAAGTGATTTTATGGAGCAATAAAAACTTAACTACAGTGGTCACTTTGAATAAGGCATAAAAATGTTCATCTGAAGCATCTGGGCAGATACCAGTCTATACAAATACGTGAAATAAAGATGAAAACAGGATATTTTGATGGTTGAGGCTGTGAGAAATGCAGGAATTGGATAAAAGAGTTGCAACTATCCATCCTGGAGAACAGTCAGATACTTCAGAAATGGGGTGTAGGCCAAAGGCTAGTTAACGTTGAAGGAAACTCAGATTTTCCAAATACTCAAGAAATTCTCCTAGTCCTGATGTTACACTGGAACTCTCAAAAATACATGTTTTCTCTTCCTTTATCTTAAAAATCTCCAGCTCCCACAGGAAGCTTTCTTAGTTTGATATTAATATGTGCTGTTTTTTCCTTCTTTTTGATATGATCTGCTTGTTAATGTTTAATAGTTCCTCCTTTTATTAAATTTAATTTAGCAACTTCTTGTTGTCCCCACTCTGTTTCTGAGAAATAAATATGTTTGAATCTCGGAAGGACTCAAATACCTTAGTTCCAATAGTTAAATACAGTTATTTTGCTGCTTCTCTGGCTTTTATATCCACTCCAGTACTCACTTACAGGTAATACTCAGCTAATATCAGGGATTTTGATTAAAATATTAAGCATATAAATACAAAAGAAAACTACCTTGAAAACTGCATTAGTGGCCGGCGCCGCGGCTCAATAGGCTAATCCTCCACCTAGCGGCACCAGCACACCGGGTTCTAGTCCTGGTCGGGGTGCCAGATTCTTTCCTGGTTGCCCCTCTTCCAGGCCAGCACTCTGCTGTGGCCAGGAAGTGCAGTGGAGGATGGCCCAAGTACTTGGGCCCTGCACCCCATGGGAGACCAGGAGAAGCACCTGGTTCCTGCCTTCGGATCAGCGTGGTGCGCCGGCCGCAGTGCGCCAGCCGTGGCGGCCATTGGAGGGTGAACCAACGGCAAAAGGAAAACCTTTCTCTCTGTCTCTCTCTCTCACTATCCACTCTGCCTGTCAAATAATAATAATAATAATAATAATAATAATAATAATAAAGAAAAATGCATTAGTCTCATAAGGATGGCCTGGGTAATAACAATGGTGGCAGAGGTGGTATAAATAATGGTAGTATTCCCAGTGGTAGAGACTTAGAACATTGCTTAAATGATTTGACAGACAATAATTGGAAAATTGAATAAATGATTGTGGACATGTTAAAGGTAGGAGTGATGGTGGGAGTGATAGAGGCAGAGATGGGCAGCAGAAAAGTGATGGTGGAACCCATGTGGGTTGGATTTCCTTAACAGGGAGGTTACTAGCAATGGATGAGAAATCTCCTTGAAAAGATGATTTTTAAGAAAACAAAATTCACTTATGGTGCATCCAAGTTGTTATTCTCTGTGTATGCAGAAAGATATGCAAATTGAATTTTCTCTCCTCATGGAAAGCTACATGATCTTGCAAAACATGCAGTGGCTCAGGTGATGCAATGTACAGGAAATGGATTCCAAAGCCCCACAACCAGAGTGGCATATTGGAGACAAGTCACTTGAGAAACAGAGCTGGTCTCCTTCATCTCCCTGGGCCTGATTTCCTGCCTCAGAGGAACCCTTACTAAAAACCAATCACACTAAGCAACTCCAGGGAATATATAACCAGGAGCTTCTAGGAACATGAAATGTTAAGTAGGGGAGTATCTTAGGTATAAAGGATGCTCAGGAGGATACTACAAGCCCTAATATAAACAGAATAGGCAGGTAATGGACAGGGATGGAGCAGAAGACATGAGTGTTGTTGAAGAAGACAACAAGAAGAGGGTGTGTGAAGGAAACTCTGGACACATTGATGAGAACACCTACCTCCACACTCACTCATAATGGGTTATATAAAGCATAACGTATTCATGTTTTAAAAGATTTATTTACTTATTTGAAATGCAGAGTTACAGAGATAGAAAGAGAGAGAGAGAGAAAGAGAGAGAGAGAGAGAGAGAGAGAGAGAGAATATCTTCCATCTGCTAGTTCACTCCTCACAAGGCTATGACGGTCAGGGCTAGACCAGGCTGAAGCCAGGAGCCAGGAGCTTCTTTGGGGTCTCCCACGTGGGTGGCAGGGCCCAGGCATTTAGGACATCTCCTTCTGCTTTCCCAGGCACATTAGACAGAAGCTGGATTGGAAGTGAATCAGCCAGGACACGAGCCAGCACCCATATGAGGTGCTGATATTGCTTGCATGGTTTAACCCACTCCACCACCACAACAGCTTCTAAAGTTATTGATGTTAAAGAAATTGAGGTTACGACAGGAGCAGTGATTGGCTTGATGTAAATTTGTGGCAAAACAAATTTAGCAAGCCAGTTTTCAAAGAGAATGCTTTTTCTGTTACGCTATTGCCCTTCTAGACTTATACCACAGAGGTCTTACCTCATCAATTTGCTCTTCATCATCCCCTTTGAGAATTTCTGATGAGTGTCTAGCTTGGAGATCATTACTTAAGATTTACCCTGTCTGCTCACAAATCCTGCATCTGGCTCTACAGTTCCGAGATTTGAGAAATGTCCCAGAATAATCGTATTTCTTTCTTTTCCTATCTCTTTCTTCTTCAACCCATAATGAGGACAGTATTAAGTTACAGAAAGGTTCCTTGAAGGAGCCTTTGGAGTCATGTTTTAGAAAGTATATACTTCTCTTTTCCACAGTTTGATACCAATGGTGGTTGGACAAGTATATGTTTTGATTGGATATTTTAGAATGTTGTGGGAAGTTTCATCAAGGACTCTAAAGGGATGAGCATGGCTATTTTCCTTTCTCTCATGTTTTCTGGTATCTATTTGGGATAAAATCCTGGGACTGAAGACTCCAGAGTGACAGTTTATACAATAGGGAAAGTGTTGATACATGAATTGGGGAACCTGAACTCCTCTCCAACTCCATCAGCAACAAATGTTTAGCAACAGACTTCTGCCTTCTACTTTCAGTTCCTCTTTTGCAAAGGGAAGGGAGTTAATTTGATAGTCTATAAGCTATTTTCAGGCATATGCATTCTATACTTTTGTCTCTGGAGCAATTTCTCAAGTAGAAGTAGCTTGAAGTAGCTAATCTTCTGTTTTATTCTGTGTTCCTAGGAGCCATGGATCCTGTCAACCACACCTGGACCCAGAGTTTCATCCTTGCTGGTTTCACTATCACTGGGACCCTACGACCTCTTGTTTTCTTGGGGACCCTGTGCATCTATCTCCTCACCATTGCTGGGAACTTGTTCATCATTGTCCTGGTCAGAGCAGACTCTGGACTGTCCACACCCATGTACTTCTTCATCAGCATCCTCTCTTTCCTGGAACTCTGGTATGTCAGCACCACAGTGCCCACACTGCTCCATACCCTGCTCCACGGGTGCTCACCAATCTCGTCGGCCGCATGCTTTATCCAGCTGTATGTCTTCCATTCCTTGGGCATGACTGAGTGCTACCTGTTGGGTGTCATGGCACTGGACCGCTACCTTGCCATTTGCCGCCCACTCCGCTACCCAGCACTGATGAGCAGACAGGTACAGCTTTGGCTAGCTTTGGCCAGTTGGGCGGCTGGCTTCTCAGCTGCCCTTGTGCCAGCCAGCCTCACAGCCACTTTGCCTTTCTGCTTGAAAGTGGTGGTCCATTACTTTTGTGACCTGGCACCACTAATGCAGCTGGCATGTGTGGACACAAGCTGGCATGCTCAGATCTATATTGTAGTGATTGCAATGATTAACATATGTGATCTTGTTCTCATTTTAGGACTCTATGGGGGCATCCTCAAAGCCATACTAAAGCTGCCCTCAGCTGCTAGTCGTGCTAAGGCTTTCTCCACCTGTTCTTCCCACATAACTGTAGTGGCACTGTTCTTCGGCTCTGCTTTCATTGTCTATGTGGGACCCCCTGGGATTCAAGCTGAGGGCATAGATAAGATTATTGCCTTGGTGTATTCTCTTCTTACCCCTTTTCTCAATCCCGTTATATATACCCTTCGTAACAAGGAGGTGAAGGAGGCTTCCAGAAGAGTGACCCAGAAGATTGGATTTGCTTTGAAGAGACTCTAAGGAGCTGTAGCATCACTGCGCATCCACTAGGCCATCACAGAATTAATAGGATTGGTTAGTTGAGTAAATCAATTAATCAGCTAATCAATTCAATAATTTATGAAACAGAAAATTAAATTAAAATGGATTGGGACAGATTGGTAAATGTGGAGTTAGGAGAAACATGGTCTCTGAACAGACTAACATAGAAGAAAGAATACATTAGTGAAAAACAATGAAAACTAGAATAAATAAAAAGTCTTTATGTAGACTTAAGAATTTATAGATCAACCTATGTTAAGAGAATTTGATAGAAGCTAGTTGTGGGGCTTTGGTTACAAAAGGGTTCCTTGAAAAGGGTTTAGCAGATGGGAAGCGAAATTAACAAAAAGAAAAATATAAGGACACCTCGGATATGAATTCATGTATTAATTGTGAGCCATGAGGATAGGGATAAAAAAGTGTGGAACCGAGTTTTCATGAGAGATCCTGCAATAAAAGGAATTGTGAAGCCGGAGCTGAAAACGTACTCATTGATGGGGAAAAGCAAGATATTGGAATTTGGGGACTGGCTATATGGATAGTCTGAAGTGAATTATAGAAATGTATACCGTACTTTGTATTTGAAATCTTAGTCAAGCAGGAAACATCATTAATGTAGTCCCTTGTGTACAAAACTAGCTCTGGAGAAGATATGAAAACATAGACACAATTTGTGTTTTCAAAGACATTACAGTTTTAGTTTTGAGGAATCAATTCTGTCTTTCTTGTCTTCTCTCTTTTCCACTTCTCCTGGTTTGTTCCTCTTTCTTTCTCTCTTTATTCTACACATGCAGAGACCAGGAGGAGCAACAGTACATCGAGTGACACTAAGGGACTGTCTTTTTTCACTTTGCAGTATGGGTATCTGTGGTAGTTCTAGGCAATGAAAAGCAGTGCAAAGGAGTAGCATGGATCAGCAAGAAGGGGATGTAAAAAGAGTAAGTTAAAAGTTACCAAGGTGGAGTCTTAATACCCTGGTCGTCTAGTTGGCACTCCTCTGAAAGTTCTCTTCAGACTAGGTAAGGAACTACAGTATCCTCCTAGGAGATTTCATGTCTCAGAATAGCATGACCACAACTCTACTGAAAATATCAGAATAACATTAATATTTGCAATAAGAACTCTGGGCATCATTACTCTCTCTCTCTCTCTCTCTCTCTTTTTAAAGAAATTAGACAAATGAGATTTTGGTTTTCTATTTTTGGATAATTAGGTCAAAATGTTTTCTTTGTAATGAAAGGATGAGTTGGTGGAGGAAAATTTGAGATGACATACATTGGCATTTGGTTCCTGCTAAATTCAGCAATCCCGACTAAGAGCACAGACTGTTTAGTGACCTATGTATCAAATGGGGATGTTGTCCAATTTGTGTTCTTTCTATGGGAGTGTACCCTTAAATAAATTTTCTCTGCTATGACATTTAAAGTGTTCCACTTAAAGGGAAACCCAATATAATGTTATTAAGACAAGATTAATCCTTAGGAAGGAAAATCAATTGTAGAAACAAAAATCTGTGATCCTTTACCTTTTCATGTCAAAACTATTTTTTTTTTTTTGTGGTGAGCAATAACTAAGTTGAAGTCAGAGGATAAATCAAATACACAATGTTTGAAGACTTACTTAGAACAAATGCCACTCCCACTAGGAAACTGAACCATTGAACTTGGGATTCAGGTGATGCTTAAGAAGTTATCTGGTCAAAATTCCCTGTTTTCACAGAAGATCAAGCTGAAGTCAAAAGGTGGGAAATATAACTTAAGCAAGATCGCAGGGCAGTTTAGAAGTAAGCTGCGAATGGGATAGCACCAAGGTTTCCATCCCTTTCCATTATACCATTATGCGATTTAGGCTCTCGTTTTTGTTCTTTTTTCTTTTGTCCAAGACAAGCAGCACCATGCAGCAGAAGGGGTGGGAATGTGGATTCAGTGAGCCATAGACTTCCTCTGGTGCCTGTCTTTCCCATAGAGGAATTCTGTACCCGAAGAAACATGCTCTGCCATGGAAGTTTACAGGCTTTCCTGGTCAGCCTGTCTGCTCTCGGCCTCTTGCAACTTCTACCTATTTTTTCCCTAGAAGTAACTCTGAACTCTGTAGTCTGATTATATAGGAATCCATGGTTCCATAGAAATATCTTTTATGGGTGAATGTTCTGTGTCTATTTCCTCATTAAATCTCCTAGAGCAGGAAAATGGATAAATGTTTTTCCAAAATGAATTGATAGGGAGAATGTAAACTTAGTCAAAAAACAAAGATCTTATCATGCTGTATTATTATGATAAAGGACATCCTTTAAATTATGTGGCAGACCTAATGAAGTATGAAAAGCATTTCTTTCAAGATCAAGAACAGAACAAGATTAATGACAACACAACTTCTATTTAATATTGTACAGGCTGTACTGACTAATGTAGCAAATAAGCAAAAACAGAAAAGTATAAAAAGAAAAGAAATTGAAAGTATCAAAATTGGAAACAAAAGAAATCTGACACTAATTGTAGATGGTTTTCTTATAGTACTGAAATATAGGGAACCACAAATAAATTATTAGACTCAATATGGGAGGTGGACAAGCATAACACAATCATATGAATAAAAAGTCATTTGCATTATTATATAGTAGCAACAATCCGAAAATATAATTAAAGTAATGGCCTTCATAATAGAATATATATGACCCATAGTATTGAGCAAATGGACCTATCAGACGTTTATTGGACCTTTCACCCAACAGATACAGAATACATATTCTTCTCATTAGCACATGGAACATCTTCTGGTGTAGACCATATCAAGGCCATGAATAAAGTCTCAGTAAATTTAAAAAGATTGAATTCATGCATCTTCTCAGACCACAAAAAATAAAAGTAGGAATCAACAACAACAACAACAAAAAAGTGAACATTTAGAAATGCATGGAAATTAAACAACATGCTACTGAATGACCAATGGGCCACTGAAGAAATTAAAAAAGGAAATAAAAAAAAACTTTCTTGAATGAAAATGAAAACACAATATATCAAAAACTGTAGGATATAGCAAAAGCAGCAAAATGAGAGAAGCTTATAGCACTCAGAGTATATGTTGAAAAAAGAAAAGTCTCAAAAAATGATCTAATGATGCATCTTGAAGACTTAGGAAAGCAAGAACAAATCAAACTCAAATTTAGCAGGAGGTGAGATATAATAAAGATCAGAACATAGATAAATAAAATGAAACTAAAATGTACAAAAGGTCTATAAAACAAAAGGTTGGGTTTCTGATGAGATAAATAAAATGAAACACTTAGACTTGTAAAGAAAAAGAGCAAAAACTAAAATAAATAAAATTAAATATGAAAAATGAGACATTAAAACAAACACCATTGAAATGGAAAGGATCATAACAAACAACTATGAAAAACTCTATGCTAAAAGAACTGGAAAACCGTCCCGGTTGCCCCTCTTCCAGGCCAGCTCTCTGCTATGGCCCGGGAGTGCAGTGGAGGATGACCCAAGTCCTTGGGCCCTGCACCCCATGGGAGACCAGGATAAATACCTGGCTCCTGCCTTCAGATCAGCGCGGTGCTCCGGCTGCAGGGCGCCAGCCGCGGCGGCCATTGGAGGGTGAACCAACGGCAAAGGAAGACCTTTCTCTCTGTCTCTCTCTCTCTCACTGTCCACTCTGCCTGTAAAAAAAAAAAAAAAAAAAAAAAAAACTGGAAAACCTCAAAAATATAGATAATTTCCTGATAAACTGTATAAAATGATATGCATTGGTTTCAGAGACACTTTTTAATTTGTTTTAAGATTTCTGCACACTTGGGCAGCAAGGAGAAAGTAAAATGTTATTATCACTTCGGAAATTAAATTCTGAATTTTTAAATTTTTCTCTCTTGCCAAAGAAAGATTAAACTTTGTTATTTGGAGAACAATTGACTAATAGCAAAAATAATTTATAAATTGTTCTCAGTATTTAATACTAGCTATGCTTTAGGGCCTTCCAGAATCTTCTAAATAATGTATTACAACTAAGGACTAACATGTGGGTTTATATTCCATTTGCACAATAAAAATTAGAAGCAATATTGTCCTAACTTCTTTGAGTGGAAAGAAAACACATTAGTTCTGTTCTTAGACTGCCGAGCAAAGTTAAAGTCAGTCTTAATAATCTTTATCTAAGAACCTTGCTTCAGTTTGTTAGTATACCTGATTATCTAGTTTACATTATTTTATATAATAATGTTTTATGCTTTTTCATTGTTAATAATCTCTGGATACTTAAAAAGTTTGTGTAAAATGGAATTAAAAGATTAATTCATTTTAGTTTGGTGCACTCTCTGTCTCTCTGTATCTGCCTTTAAAATTGAAAAAAAATAAAACCACTATAATTTTTGCATTTTAACTCTCACAATTCAAATTTATATATAATAAAATATGGATTCAAAAATATCAACGACTGCTTGAGGGTATGTAGATAATTAGTAATGTTGGGGGACACAATGGATCCTTTGCTTGGGGGTGTCTCCAAATAATGAGCCTCAAATGGGAGCTGCTTAGAGAAAAGTTTCATCTATTTTTGGCAAGTAAAGGAGGCAATAAGGACTCCTAGTCCCCAAAATAAATGACCTCACTAAGAAATAGTTTCCTACAGATTTTATAGGAAGGGTTGAGGGGTGTCCAGCATGTAGAAAAGGGGGGAGGGGCGGGCTCTGCCTGGTCAATGCACATTTTTAGAAACTTTGGGTTCAACATTTGACTCATGCTGATTTGCAGATCTAATTGCTTCCTGTTTGTGGTGGCGTGGTTCCCTGTGAGTATAGTGAAGCAAGATAAGCTTACCTGGAGCATCATCTGAAAAACAAGCTCAAGAGATTAATGATGTGAGCTTCTCTGCCCTAGTTCCAGCATTCTGCTTGAGAAAAGATCCCACACTCTTGCTTACCGTAGTGCTGAAAAGCACAAGCCTCAAGAGGTGCTATTCTGTGCATATGTGCCTCTGATCACTATCCATACTTCTGGAGACAGTGGAGCTTCTGCGTGCTGATCCTGGGCTCTGGGGTCCTAATCCTAATTTTGATTCCTAATCCTGACGTGGGCCCCTGTGTGACTTTTGACTCATTATCAAAATTTCTGCACTTCCTCTCCCTCAAATAGCAATCAAAGGAACATTGTAAAGCAATTGAGAGGATCGCATTAATTAAACCATGCGTTGTGCTTAGAATGACTTGTTACTTAGCGAATGCTCAGAAAACTGAGTCTTCAATTGAAGTCATGATTCAAAATAAGATTTTTGAGGCTCTGCAATTCATGTTCTTATTTTTTTCTCATAATAAACAGTTTTATCTGAGAAAGTTCTTCAAGGAAGAATGATTTGGGTGGGATCAGTCATCTGACTGGGAAAAGTAATTGGGTGAAAAGATGAAGGGAAATACAGAATCTCTTTGGAGATCTGAGGCACCTGAGAGTGCCTGAGTTTGTAGGAACAGTGGTAGGAAGATTGGGGTGAGGTTCTCAGAGCCATAACACAAGAATCTGTGTTAAATTACTAGAGGTGAGGGGTAGCATAAGGACGGCAAGATTCGTAATGAGGTAGCATGCTTTCTCTGAACCCACCTCCCCCGATGGGGACAGAATCAGCCTGTCTCCAAGTGCCCACCCAGGAGCCGACCCTGAAGTGACTCTCACCTTCCTCTGAGTCTTTGAGTCTTCGCCTTCCCTCTGTCCCTAGTGACTTGAAGCAGTCAATGACAGCTCTGGGGACTCTGTCTGTGGGGATAAGACCTACTTAGAAGGGAGAAAGGCTCTTAGATCCCGTCACAACCCACCCTCTACTGAGTCAGGCAAGATCAAAGCAGGCACTGAATCATGTTCGCTGGTTGGTAAGGTGAACTGGGGGCTACAGTGACAGTAGCAAATGAGGGTCTTAAAGTGGGATTGATAAAAATGGAACTGAAAACAGATATTATTTTGGTGTTTAGAGGAAAGATGGCTTTTTAAACGACTGGGGCTTGTAATATCTATTTCTGAGAATCTAGAGAATTAGATTTGGAAGAGACTTCAAAGGGCAATTTACCCACCGTATTCCCCATGTGATACTTAAATTCGTTATACAACTAAAAGATAATGGAAATGTGTGAGCAAATCTTTGAGAGTATTGGGAGACAGGCAGATTTCTTGTGTGCTGCCACAAACTGGCTAGGCGTTGGCATGGTTGGTAGAAAGCAGAGGTTTCACAGGAGCCCTGAGTTAGAAGGTCTGATGTGGAATTACATCCTTTCAGGAGCAGATGCACGTGAAAAGACTTCACAGCGGGAGAGAGGACTCTACACAGGTTCTTTAAATAGGTGGTTAAAGACACTGGGTAATGCAGAAGTTTACTTTCTAGAAGTCTTCTGAGTGTTCCTAAAATTATCTCACAGAAGTGCTAATCTGTGGAAAGGGGAAACATCAATAACAGTTCTTTGTGCCTAAAAGATAACCAAAACATTTCTTAAATTTAATGTCTCTGAGTCAGTGGGAGTAAGGAAAGTGAGACCAAGCTAAATTTCAGGTACTCATTGGTTTGGATGGATTGAGCTTGAGATGCTGCAGGGACAAGAAGGATGTATTCAGGTGTAACTGAAATAAAGTGACTTAAACTGAAATTAGAAAAAGAGGGGCTGGCGCTGTGGCACAGTGTGTTAAAGCCTTGGCCTGAAGCACTGGCATCCCGTATGGGCACTGGTTCTAGTCCCGGCTGCTCCTCTTCCAGTCCAGCTCTCTGCTGTGGCCTGGGAAAGCAGTAGAAGATGTCCCGAGTCCTTGGGCCCCTGCACCCGCGTGGGAGACCCAGAGGAAGCTCTTGGCTCCTGGCTTCAGAATGCCACAGCTCCAGCTGTTACGGTCATCTGGGGAGTGAACCAGCGGATGGAAGACCTCTCTCTCTGTCTCTACCTCTCTCTGTAACTCTTTCTTTCAAATAAATAAAATAAAAATCTTTAAAAAGAAGAAATTAGAAAAAGTTAAGTCCATTAGAGAAACATTAATTATTTCACAGTTCTCTGCTTATTGCTCCTGGCATTAGTAGGGGGACATGTAATAATTAAGTACTACATTCATTCTCAAAGATTTTACCAATTTATGGGATGACATGCCTGGTAAAAAGGCAGTAACTCCATGATAAGTGGACAGTGTAAATTTTATGAGGACATGGAAAGAAGGAGTAAGTAGCTGTTTTCTGGAGCAATTAGGAAAGCTCATCATTGAGGAGCTAACATTTGACCTGATTTGAAATGTGAGAAGCAGCTCTCACGTGAGGAAAGGAGGAAGAGCATTAACCCAAGAGCATGTGATCAGGAGGTTGTGTGGAACTAGAAACGTCCTGAGGCAACCGTTTCCATTTTAAGGTATCTGTCTTTCGGAGGGGTGAATGTACTCTTTCTTCAGAAGAGAAGAGATTTAAGAAGAATCCTTGATTATTACTTGTTTTGAGTGAATTTAGAAATATCAAAACCCGAAGTTTGTTTCTAATACAGGGCACTTGGATTTGGGAGGAATGTGTGGAGTGGAGTGAGTGGTGTAAGTTGTAGGGAAAATATTATCTTGCTAGTGACTAATTAGTCTGATTAAAAACCTTTTGCTGACTATCTTTAGTGTGATAATGATTATACCATGGGTTAGGATGACAAAAATAAGCTGGAGACTACAGTTTGTCAGTATGTTGCCTGGAGCTGGAGACCCCTTTTCAAATGCAGTGTGATATACACAGGGTACGGTGTAACTTGCACTGGCCACCAGTTTTATACATTTAAAGTCATACTGTGTTCTTTCTTTTCATTTCTGTTTTCCTTTCTTTTTGTGTCTGCTTCACATTGTGCTTGAAAACAACCAGGATGTCCAATTTTTTTCCTTTGGTGTGAAATTTCAGCAAATCAGCAATGCATCCCTCACCTGTATTCATATGTGTTTTTTGGAAAATACCAGGTTTATACTTACTGCCATTTTATCAAGGTTGTTTTTTAAATCTGCATCCAAGTGTGTTAGCCACTACAGTTCATCTTCTATCAGGAACCCAGATGGCAAATCCACACATTTATTTCTGAGCTTGAGATTGGAATACATTTCAGTGATGTTTTAAAAATCGACATCTGAACACATGGTTTATTTATAAACATCCCTTAGTGATGCCCACACCTTTTGGGTGAGTTTTCCTAACTCTCTTACTATACAGGAGAATGTGTGTTTCCTTAATTCAAGCTGCTTGCTGCTCAGGGCTGTGCTTTTTGTCTGAGAAGCTTGTTTTCTTCATGTATCCAGCTGACTCCTGTTCTTTTTGGAAAACTCAGCTCAAGAGTTTTTCTTGAGAAGCCTTTCTTAGTCTTCTCAGTCTGAGAAATGTTACCCTTCTATGAGAGTCTGCAATATCCTGTACTTCACAGGCTACCTTAAGATGACTGATTTATGCATTTATTTCTTCTATGACAATGTAAGCTCACTGGTGGCAAGGATCATACATTGTTGAATTTTGAATTCCTTATGCTTGACACATAATTTTTCAATAGGTTTGTGTAGAGGTGAACTAAATAATAAAATATACTGTTGCATGAATCTCAAGTACAAAATTCACCTCTGAAGACTTGACTGAAGATAAAGCTATGACTGGGTTGAAGAGACAGAGTGTTTAGGGGAAGGCCATGTAGTAAACAGCATGGAGAAAGAGAGCAAAACTTCAAATTTGGTTTATGTAATGTAGTTTCCATTTGAAATAGAGATAGGTAAGAGTCCTCCATTCTTTCCACCATGAGTTTTCTCATCTAGAAAATAGACATAGTGATGGCACTTGTTTCACTGGCTGAAAGAACATTAATATATTGAATGCAAAGCACTTGGGAAGGTGTTTGATGCATAGTATATGCTAATATGAAGGACTTCATAATATCATGGAAAATGGATTGAAAGGATAAATTTATTTTGGTGCAAAAAATGCTGAATCCATGTATAGATTTTTGATGATATGCATTCTCCATGAAATTTTTGGAGACCTCTCATAAGAATTAGCCATTATTTTTATGGTAGAATTAATAATAACATTAGTAGAAATAGTAATGAATGTGGTATGGTGCTGAATTGAGAGACAGGAGAGAAATGAAGTTTTGGCTACCACCTTAATTCAATTTTTTTCTCCTTTCAGTCTCCACTTCAGCTTCCCATGGAGCAACACAACAAGTCAACCTTGACTGAATTTGTGCTCCTTGGCTTCCCCAATGTGGGGCACGTCAAGGGCTGGCTTTTTGTTCTGCTGCTCATGGCATACCTATTCACAATCTGTGGCAACCTGCTTATCTTCTTGGTCATACGACTGAATGCAGCCCTTCACACACCCATGTACCA